TCTCTCTCTCTCTCTCTCTCTCTCTCTCTCTCTCTCTCTCTCTAAACATGTCTTCACTCTACACCCTGTGAGTCGGCTCCATTTTATCACATATTTGTTAAGCAGAAGAGAAGTAGTTGTTTCGATCACTAAGTGTTTTTTAATGAGCTGTATAGGAAACCTGTATTTTAAGAAAAATATTAATTAATATTAGTAATATACAAGATAGTTGTGAAAAGTGTAATTATTTCTCTTCTTTAATGCTTATGATAAGAAATTGTTCATTTGGACAGCCCAGCTTTAAATCGGCTGTTTATTCATTAATTTAAGTCAACCGTTTGTTGTAAATTTACAAGTTGAGAAGAGAGACACTGAAGTATATTTTAATGTAATTCATTGAATATTGAAACGCGAAGTGATAGTAAAATGCCAGGAAAGCTCACTTATTTCGATGTGAAACGTAATAAACGGTGTAAGAAACACACGTAGTATCTGATTTCTAACATCGTGACATAAAATGCCGTAATGTCTGGACAAGACTTTAATTAGCGGAGATTACTAATTTTGAATCATACTTCCACATAGTAATATCGAAGGTAATCGCAAATGTTTCAAAATTATGGAGCGTAAGTCTTGCATTACGCGAAAACAGTATATTCAAAAAAAAAATCTACAGCTCATATGCGCGTGAATGTGTCTTATGTACGCGTGCATGTATGTGTGTTTTATGCTTATATTTTTGTAGCGCGGTTGATAAGATTTTGAAGAATAATTTTTATATGAATAGGATTTTTCTATTATTTCTCTCTTTTGGTAGGTACTTAAACGAAATAGAACGCGTACGATATTTCATAAAGGCACGAGTGCAAGTTTCTCTTTAATAACGACTAGTGACAAATGGCTCTATCGTTTTTCTTGTATACTGTTATAACATGTTTAATAACGTGTATGCTAGTTGCGTGTTGATTGTTTTGTATAAGATTTGTTTTTTATTCTATACAATAAAATTTCGCTTAATGTCGCATTCGCGTGTGCATTGGTGTGTTATTTCTGTTGATAAGTTCTAGTTATGATGATGCCTATTTGCGGATATTCTACATATTGCAAGTATATTCTATATACTTTCATCGTATCTTTATCTATATATTGTTTTTCTAATTTCGAATTAATTTCCTTTAAAAGAAGATCGTGAACATCATCTTTTTTTTTCTAGAGCATTCTCAGCATTCTATGTATTTTCGTAACAGTTATGCCAAGTTTCCTCAAAGTTGAAGTTAAAGTCAATTAAGCCACTTTCTTCGATTGTGTGCTTAAAACAGAGAACCACACGCATGACAAACTGGACATATATATCATGATTACCTTTATTAACAAATTATTTTATCCTATTTACAAATATGCCAGCAAAACTCAACAAGTACCTGTTGCTGTTGCGCCTCCAGCGCCAGTTATAATAAATCCAAAAGACGTTGCAAGGATATTTAAGTTGTCTTTTGTACTTTTATATTATACGGGTCCGTGTCTAAAACTCGTCTGTATTTATCTCGTCTGGTGACGATCGCGCGAAGAGCACGATCGAGAAAGTGGATCGAAAGTGGAGATACCAGACGCGAGCTTGATAGGCAGATTGTACTACGTATAGGAAACCGATGTCTCGTGGTTAGTAAAATTCCTTCTCCCCGTGTTAACGCAGTTGGAGTATATTGTCCAATAATTTCCAGATGCGATTCTACCTCGCTAATGAGCCACGTGAGCCACGCGTACTCGGACGATCAACGTCTCGCGAGAGCGCTTTCGACGTCGACACTGCGTCGACAATACGATGTACTTTCATTGGAGATGGACGATCGGTCGCTTCAGCCTCAAATCGCGAAGTACGTCGTGACCAAGATCAAAACGGTACACCCGAGATTGCTAAAGTGCGTCTCTCCGCCGCTGATCGCTCTGACCCGATCGGGTTCTCGACGTTCGCGGTTCTCACCGGGTCCTTGATCGTCCGGGTCGTCCCGTTGGAAGTCCACGCTGGACATGGTGCGACTCTCGAGCGGAGATCTCTTCGATCTTTCCACCAGCGTTAGGCGTGTGTTCGCCTTTGAAAAAAGACCAGAAGGCAGCGAGAAGTCGATGGCCGACAAACGAGGAGTTTTTCTCTCGTACAAAGAGCTGTTGACGCGAACCTCCCCGGGAATCAGCGGCGGCAGCTCACCCTGAAACTTGCCGAATTGCGGCGTCCTGCTGAGAAGCGCCGACGTCAGTTTGCCCTTGTTACGATGCTCGATGTCGGAGATGGATCTGGCCAAGCCGGTGGAGTCCTTCAGTTTCTTACCGTCGTAAGTGATGAGGACGCCGGAGGACGGCGACGACAACTCTTCCGATCTTGCGCTTGTGACTGGTGGCAGATAATAAGCGTCCAATCGGTCCGCTGCCATCTCCATGTCGTCGAGGTCGTCAAACCGCGTTGAGAAGCGCACAGGAGACGTCTTTTTCTTTCGCTTTCTGCCGTTATCAATCAGAGACGTCGTCACTGGTAGCGACGGCACGAAGACAGGTGAGAACTCGTCGATCGTTCGATAGTCCGAACTCTTTCTGAACACTTCCTCCTGCCAAGGCGTCGCACTCGAGACTCTTTTTTGCACGATATCGGCTCTGTCGACGGTGTTCCGAATGATCGGCTTGAAGCCGCCCTCGATGACGATGGATTCGGGATCGAAACCGGTGTTACGTGCCGGCTTGAGGAGCCTCGCGGGGCCCATGAGATTGTTAGATACATCCACGGGCATTATCTCCGATACCTTCGCCTCGAGTTTCGGGCGTTGCTTCGTGTCAATTTTGGTGAGCTTCTCGAGCGGAATACCGGCCGTGCCGGACGGCGGCGCCGCCTTGTTGTCGGGCGTCGTTTTCAGCGTAAACGGGCCGCCGGCGACGGGCAATCGGTAAACAGACTTCTTCCGCTCGATCAAGATCGGCCGCGCCGGCAACGGCAACGGCAACGATAACGGCACTGACAACGTGCCCGTTGATATGACGCCGGTGGTCTGTAGCGTCTGCAACATCGGACGACGCGTTAGTACCGGGCGCCGGATGATCATCAGTTGGGTCCTTTGTTCGGGCTGATGATGATAACGATGAGGCGGAAGCTGATGGCGCACGTAGTGATGGTAATTGCTCGCGTAATGATGCGGCGCTCGGGTGTACTGCTGCACGCTGGCCGCGTAAGGCAACTTTGACCCTTGACTTAATGGTCGTTGGTGATCTGCAACGAGGTTAGACAATTCCTGGTTAGTGGTCTGTTGCTGGGTTTCCCGCGTGAGCTCCGTGAGTCGCGGATGACCGGTGTGAAGGGATGATGATTGTTCATGAGCGCTTGTTGCCACCAGTCGTTGCTGCTGGAGAGTCTCCCCGTCAGCGTGATGCGCGTCCTTCAGACGTGCCTCATATGAGGGATGAGGCGCGATTGCGTTAGCCGCGCCACCACCGTATGTGATCTCGGACGATGATGATTGCAAGCGATCGTAATTGTTATTGTTCGTTAGTAGTTGCGGATGGTGTGAGGCGCTTAGCTTGCTGGCGGGGTTAGTCGTCGAATGATGGGCGTAACGATGACCGTAATCGCGGTGAGAATGATGAACATGCTGTTGATGAAGGAACTCCGCCGTTGGCGTTACCTTGCTCGCTACGGCTATGCTGGCGCCGTACTCTAGATCCTGGTCCTTCGCTAGCTCCTGATCATTCGGCACCGCGTACACCTCGTGCTTCTCGCTGGCTGCCGACGCCTCGCCGACGTCACAGCTATCGTGAACGTTAATTTTCCAGCCTAAATAACGATGCGTGAAACACTGCAAAGATATGCGAAAGCTGTGAATCTTATTGTGTATTGAAACAATTTTTTATTTTAGCCGTTCTCATAGCTATTGTAGTAATATGCAGTACTCTCTCTCTCTCTCTCTTTTTTGTTGAACAATTGACCAATTACCTGATAGTACACTGTGTCAGGTGTATCTTCGTCCGGTATCCATTCCACGATACCAGGCTCGCCATGATCGCATTCGAGGACCAAGGTGCGCTGATACGCTCCAAAAGATGCGAACTCGTCCGCGGGCGGTTGATTTTGATCCGGCACCCAGTTACAAAGACGTCCTACTCCTATAGGTCGAATTGTGCCGCGTTGTCGACGTACACCGGCAAATATCTTCACTTTCTGCACAGATAATAACCATCAGAAATCGTTAATTTAATCACTTAACGATTCATTCAATTAATGTACAATGTTAACGTAATGCTCAGCTATTAAATTTAAGAAATATGATAATTGTGCTTACATTATAATACTAATAAAATTTCTACTTTGTAAAACTTTCTACTTAAACTTTCTATTTAAACTTTAAACAAATAGTTCATGTTCTGTGCATTTTTCAACGAAAAATATCTATCTAAAGACCATAAAATAAATAATGACGAAGTGTAAGCAAAACCGTATGACAATGTATTTAATTATAGTTTAACAGGTTTTAAGATTCTATTTGTTTTAAAGCGACGGACAAGATGGACTTACCGCTTTCTCCTCGGGTGTTTTATGTTGGTAACCGCCCACAGGATCGTCCGTGATATAGAACGGATGATAACGCGCAGGTGTGTCAGGATCTAAACCACCTTCTACGACGAAAGTATATTTCTTGCCTCGCACTACATTAATCTCGGGTATCAGCAATCCGTTAATGTACCAAGAGATTCCCCAGCCGACGTGACCTGGAGAAAGTGAAGTGAAGACCGGTTTGGATTACGGATGCCACGCAACTTTTTTGCGATTCGCTCGGGGACTTTCTCGATGAATCGGCTTATTCCTGTGCGCTTAACTGATTGGACGCCACGCGAATTTCAATCAACTTATGCCGAAGCATAACTAAACGTTAAACGTTCGTAGTTACGAATATAAACAGCAGACAACGAATAAGATTTCCGACTTTCCATATTGAAAAGAAAGTGCCAAAAGAATGTGGAATTTAGTTAAATTTATTTATGCACCGGCATCGCGGAAGAAATCCTTTTACTTTACCAAAATGAACACCTTATGAAATCAGTGTGCGTTTCTGAATTTGAATTACAGCTCACAAGTAATATTATCATCTAAATATAATTTTGCATCAAAGGAGACTTTATCTGCTAATATTCTTCATTGACACAGGTTTCTCTTTTTATCATTTATTCAATAATATATGAATAATTTATGTAAACGTAAAATGTCGCTGTCAAGCATATAACGAGAAACGGAACGCTTTTACATTCTTGGAACGAAATAGGGAGATCTCACCACGAACTTCCTAACGTTATAAGATTCATAATTCTTTACCGGTAATGGCTGGGTAACCGTGTTTTCCTCCGGTGGGTCCCATTTGTGCGTAAAAAATACCATCTTCAGGCTCGTAACACTGAATCGGTGGTATCTCCCAAGCATCGTTCGTAGGTGCTGGTGCAGGAGTCGCGGGCACACGTTGCGGTCTTCTTGTAGTAACAACTAATTGCTGCTTTAACATATTATTCCCATAAGATAATGCAACATGCAGTTATCGTAAACTCAATGGATCTTCCTTCTATAATTATTCCCAGCTCAAATTTTATCTATTAGCTAAATTTATTTGTGTATCGAGATCGATTCAGTCGAAAAGAAATCCCTTTACTTTACCACAAGGAAAAGGAACACACAGATGATGACTTACTTGATTGTTACCTGCTGTTTCATTAGCGTCACCATAAGACAGAGCTTGCTCTGGATCAGGCATGGGGCAATTCCACGCGGGCGGTCTACCAAATTCGATGAATCGATTGGTCTTCAAATAGGCAGTATGATGGTAACTGACCTCCTGCCTCTCGTTTAGCGGCCCGATGGCCCAAATTATCGCTTGCGATCCATTCGTCAAGATCGGGAGGTCCAATTCGTCACTCGCTTTCAATGGTCTCTGGTACGTGACAATGCTGTAGCCATTCACCAGCGCAGCGTTCAGCAATTGCACTGAATCTGTGTTCACCTGAAAGACACGAATTATTTCGTTATCACAGTAAATTCTGTGTACTGTCTTACGAAACAAGGGAAGAACCACGTTGGTTCTAAAGCGTTGTCGTGCGCAAAAAAATTTTTAATTGTACAGTGAATTAATGTACGTCGTATACTGAAGAAGGCCCAAATATAGGCCCAAATAAGAAGGCCCGAAACGTCTATTTGCGATTGTATTGTTTTACTTTTGGAAATAAAATAAATACATAAATTTCTTACACGCCACAACCCGGTGTCTGGCTCTTATTGGCTTTGATTTTTTATTTTTTTCTTATTGGCTTTATTGTTTCAGTTTTGAAAATATTTTAAATTATATTATTAATATATATTATGTAGTTATTAATATATGTTATATAGTTATATTATTTTCAATTATGAAACTATGAAACCTTTAAGTGCGTGTATATAAGAGCTATTTGTTATCTTACTTTGAGAAATAAAATTACTTTGTTATTTATTCGTCTGTACCTGAATACGCGTATCCGGACAGCTACCATGATGTCCTGAACACTGAGATTTCCCGTCAAAGAAATAATCGATGGCGTATCCTTGTAATGTTTCCTTGTCAACCCAAGCTACAGTGACATCGCCGCCGACCATCATACTCTTCTCCTTGTTTGCGGATAATCCAAAGGACATGTACTGCCCGGCGTCTGCCGTATAAATTCAACTTTATAATTATGCACAAGAAATACTATTTAACTAGAAATATGTACTCACCAAGTTTTCCTACGAGTTGTACAACTATGCTATCTCCGGCCACTGCCCATCGCACCTCAAAAGCTAAGCTGTCCTCGAGAACTTCGCAGTTAAGTTTCGACTGAAATCATACCGTCGATAGCGTTTATATAGCAATATCTTACGCGAAACTGAATTTGCTCGCTGATCAAATCTGTAACGTTGGTCAAATTTCAACATTGCAAATTTCATGGAAAAAAGCTGATGCATGAAACATTGATTGAGGATACATGCAAAGCTCCAATCGTAAAAAATATATTTATTTAATATACAATATACATTATATAGAAAATAGATACAAAAATATATCAAAAATATAGTTTACATACGCGCGTAAACGGATATATGTGTATATATACATATATGTTATACGTGTACATATTATATACGTATATATCACCCGCATGCGTACATATATATATATATACACATATATAAAAATTTTATTCCCCAGTTATAATATAGATAAAAAAAATCTTAGATAAAATATTATTAAAGCACATTTAATGGACATTTAAGAAATTTCTAATTTTACCATGATTATTGAAAACTTTGTATGCGAAGTCGGAAATGATGCATACAAATAACTGCTCTAAGAGTTTCTATTATAATCTAAAAGGAACAATAACTTATCACCTTGTTAATGTAATTTTTTTATATCCATATATAATTAAAAAAAATTTTTAATCCTTCATTTTTTTAATATTTAATATGTTTAATATTTATATTTTTTATTTATATTTAATATTTATATCTTTTTAACTTCAAGAGTTTCTAGGAAGATTTCTAGAATATTCTGAAGTATTCTGAAAAGAGTTTGGTATGTTATATTTTTTCCCTTGGAAAATACATATAATTCAGAATAAACTAAACATAAATTCATCTAAAAACTTGATATAAAATAGTATTAAAATGTTTCATTCTCTCCCCCTCAAATAACATAAGAGCAGCAGTTTCTAACAAATGCTGGAAAATTCGAAATTTCCTAAATCATACGCCTTACGGAATAGTGCGGAATAAGCGAAGGACTTGTGTTCACATAAAGCATATGTACTCGCCGACGAGAAATCGCGTTGACGCGTCGATCGTGTATCTTCGTAATTAATAACGCACAAACGAGTCGACTCTCCTATCACCTTGGAAGTTCAAGAACCTAGCGTAAGAATTTTGCTGCGGTTCGACGAGATGCGTGCGCGAGCGCGACAGCGGTTGGCGATATGAGGACGTCGACGACGCACCGTCGGCCGCACGATAATGTCCCTGATACTGATTCGCGAGATCGGCGGAAGCCGTATAGATCGGCAAATGCGCCTGATAAAGTTGCACATGCGAGTCCTCCGGCTGCGGAGGAGTCTTGGGTATTAGAGGCTCCACGGCTTGAACTACTTGGATCTGATCGTCCCGGCGGAGAAGCGGCCGATAGGTCGTCGGATGGTGGTGTTGTTGCGAGAGCGAGCTCGCGAACGAAATAGCGAGAGGGGAAGGCGACGAGGAAGCGAAAGAAGAGATCTCGTAAGTACTTAGCGCTCCCAACTGTCCCTGCCCTCCGCGGTGCACGTTCTGCAACACAAGGACAGAGACAGGGTTTTATCCATATCAACCACTGCAGGCATCAGGATTCGTTCGAGATGAACGGAATGGACAAGCATCGGCGTTTGACGATGAAATCGCGGATAGGAATTAATCTAAAATTTTCTGAGCAACGACGCGGGTTCGTTTGTGAGTTGCGAAATCGTAAAACTGACCTTACTGTTGTTGATATTGCTTTTAAATTATCTTTTAATTATTTCCGAGTTTTTTAATATGAAGAGTGGATCTGAGTAGATAAAAACGCTGGAGCTAAATTTTTAATACGTATATCCATCGTAGTTCACCTATTTTATAGGTTGCCTATGCGTAAAAGTTATTGATTAAACATAAGACTGAAGAATTATAGTGTCTGCCATTATGAAAGTGAAAGTAATATATGTCGAACGAAGTTCCTTGGAAAGCAGAGTTGACGATCACTAACTGCAGTTTGTTGATTAACAATTAAATATCACTTAGAATCAAGCAATCGTATGTAAGGGAAAAAGAAGAAACAGAAGAACAGACGACTCCGTCGATTGACGTCATTCGCAACAACCGTCCGATCTTATGAATAGTTGCACGATACGCTGATAGTGCATTAGAAGCTACATGTTAAAACGTTTTACTTTTGCTATCCCATTCTACCTCTGCGACATACGTGTGTAGTGCATGTTTTGTCAAATTTATCCGTTATACCTGCGGCGAAACTCCCAGCATTTTAAGAGAAGGCGGCACATTCATATGTTGCGGAATCTGTACATGGCCGAAGTCCACTGCAAAGGCTTCGCACCATACGCCGAAATGGCCGAGCTGATGCACGGTTAAGTCACCTGGTAATGTCAAGACGATCGTTTTGCGATCGTAACGACGTAACGGCTGCTCTTTCCCATTCTCATCGGGCACTCGAATACCTTGCGAGGTAGGCGTCGGACTAGCACCCACCCAGAACTTGGCATCTGTAAAATGATTTCATATTTATCAATTAGCAACCTGATATATGTGAGAGATATATTATATGTAATATAAATAAGTTTATAATGGAAATTATATTATAATTCTTTCACATATATAATAGTGAAATGACTTGCCAGGGGCTTCTCCGTCGTAGCTAAAACTGGGTATCAAAAGGGTCTGAGCATCTACGATGACAATGGGCTCAGAACTGACACTGTGCACACCGTTTAAAGCTTTTAATTTTTGCGGTTTTGGGTAATCAAAGCCTCGTGGTATTTTGACATCACCGAAGTTTACCTAAACAGAAATGATTTTTTATGAGAGCAATATATTTCGCGTAATAGTAATATACTTGACGTAATAATATAAAATATGAATGT